TCAGGCACAGCTACAGGTCAGGCAGAGAAGTGATTCAGAGCAGCCCTGTGGGGAAGGACTTAGGGGTGCTGGTCGATGAAGATGAGCCGGCTTCAGTGTGCGCTCACAGCCCAGAAACCAACCGTATCCTGGGCTGCATCAAAAGGAGTGTGACCAGCAGGTCAAAGGAGGTGATCCTGCCCCTCTGCTCCACTTTTGTGAGACCACACCTGGAGTACTGCATCCAGCAATGAGGCCCGCGTTGTAAGAAGGATGTGGACCTGCTGAAGCATATCCAGAGGAGCGCCATGAAGATGATCAGAGGGCTGGATCACCTCTACTATGAAGACTGGCTGAGACAGTTGGGCTTGTTCAGCCTGGAGAAGAGAAGGCTCTGGGGAGACTTTAGAGCAGCTTCCAGTGCCTAAAAGGGGCCTACAAGAAAACTGAGAGGGACTTTTTACAAGCACATGTAGTGAAAGGACAAGGGGAAATGGCTTTAAACTGAAAGAGGTTAGATTTAGATTAGGCATAAGGAAGAAATTCATTATTGTGAGGGTGGTGAGACACTGCACAGGTTGCCCAGAGAAGTTCAGATGCCACATCCCTGGAAGTGTTCATGGCCAGGTTGGAAGGGGCTTTGAGCAACCTGGTCTAGTGGAAGGTGTCCCTGTCCATGGCAGGGGGTTTGGAACTAGATGATCTTTAGGGTGCCTTCTTACCCAAACCATTCACCATGATTCTGTGAATGACGAGACCTTTTCTGAAACTGGTATGTTAAAATGTTGGGTTTTTTTCTTTTTTTCCAAGCAGGTGATGCATTTGCTAAGCTGAAAATGTTACATTTCATTATTAGTTGCTAAATATCACAGATGACTAAAGGACAATCTGGTTGATTTAAAAGAAGGAAGTTTGAAATAATTTCCATTGCATAGTACCTTTTGACGTGTTTTGCAAGTCTCCATTTAAATGCTTCTTTTCGTAACAACAGTAAAGAAAGATTAAACATAAACTCAGTGGTCTACCCAGTCACGACTGACAGAAATGTTCAGCCTTTTAGCAAAGCACTAGAATAGTAAGCATATCTCAAAGGAACTACCTCTTGCAAAGTTTGGGAGAAAAGAGGATAACATTCAGTCCGCCATTTGGAGTTCCTTTACTTCCTAAGATCCTCCTTGATTCACCAAATTCATACATACATACAGGCGTAATATATATAATTAGATATAATAGATATAATTAGATAAAATCTACTGTGATACTTATTTCAGGATATCTGCATCCCAGGCACATTTACTTGTATTCTCTTTAACTGCATGAGTTGAGAAAAAAATTTCAGTTGTTTTGACATAGACTTTTGCAGAAATTAACTTTATGGTCATAAATCACCTCTGATTACTTTAATAGCGTCATTTCAAATGTGAAGGTGTCTCTCTAAGTTCATAAATTTTCTTGATAATTTTATGTCTGTGGCTTGTATATCATAATTCTGACAATTTGTGCACATAATATTATGTCATAAATTACCACATTTATTTTGGTATGAGTCTCAGTACTCATGAGTACTGCCTCTATTTTTTAGATGTGTAACATATCTGAAACACAGGATTCAATATCTAAAATCTAAGAATACTTAGTAAAAAACCTAATGCTTAGACAAGGGATGAGGACTGGAATTCTCCTGATGATTTGGGATGCAACTCTAATTAAAAGAGGAAAAAATCCATGATGCCCAACTCTTTGAACTGTTATTGAAAGCCCAATTTAAAAACAATTTCAGACATCAAGCCTTAGATTACAATACCTTATGCAAAATTTCTAATGACACGGAAGTGTTTCAGTTAATACTTAGCTTGTTATACAAATCTAAAGAAAAATAAGCAAATAATAACTCTTACTTTATAATCAGTCTAGATGGAGAACTATCCCTGCCAAAATCTATAGTGTTTAAGATAAAATCTATATAATATTAATATTTCGTGTCATATTTTGTGGAAAAGCCATTAGGCTTGATTATAAACCAGATGGTATGAAAAATATTATGAACATACCGCACTGCTACTGAACATAATTAGTTCTCCAGCTTTTAAACTTGAAAACACTTATGTTTCTACATCTGAGTAGGTCCACTGAAATCAATCATATATATAAAATAAAATTAAACCAATTTATACAGATTATACACCAAATCAAATTACATTAGATTAAACACCAAGTGCCTAGCAAATGAAACGCCTTCTCCAACAAAACTAGCCCATTCGATACAAAGTGACTGCCTATTTTTTATATAATAGGCTGCAGCTTAATCATTTCAACCTTTAATTACTGCATCAGATAATGAATATTTTGAACATATGCTTCTCCACCCTGCTAGAAGACACGAATGAAAGAGAAACAAGTTTATATGCATGCTACTGTGTGTGAATGCTGAGGGAGGGAGTAGCACACTAAACAGCAAAAGGAACCAGTGGCAACAATTGGAAGAAATGGTGTCTGTAACAGCTGCTCCTTTCAGATTCCCCTAGAAGGAGACTGCCTGAGGTGGACCACAGCACAAAAGGATAAAGAAGATGAAAACTGATGCAAAGCAGGAAAATAACTGCTGAGACCCCTGAGTCTACATCCGAATAGTCCCAAGCTGTGTGGCAAGACCTCTTTAGCATGCTACAGAAGCTGGTGATGAACTACATATTACCATGAGGCAAACTGGCTCCTAGCAGTATTGTCTGCATGTTATGTGTAATGATAACCAGCAGTCCTCTGGGAATAGGATGCAATGATTTCATCTCTGTAAGCATCTGAGCTCCCCTTGGATACAGAGACCATTAAACTGAGAACAGAAGGGTAAATTTTAGGCAATGATTTCCAATTGGAGAGTGAAGACAACTTGTGCTCAACAGCACTGTCAACCACTGTTATTTTACTGCTGTCTATATTGATCACTGTGAAGGACAAAAGGAACTAAAATTGTACCCCTTTTTCTAAGTCACATAGCACACTATTTTTTCTGGAAGAAAGTGCTTCATCGGTTTCTTATGTAATATTATTGGAAATGCCATATTAGGAAATGCCAATATTACATAATATAATAATATATAATATTATTTACACTGAAATGTATTGGTATTTTCATTACTGTTAAAATAACATTTTATACTCTTAACATAATGTATCATTTATGTTTTGTACTACAGAGACTTTCTGTCCCTTTTAACAAAAATGCACATTGTCTTCCTTAACTATCAGGTGTTTTGGTAAGACTAAAAACAACAGGCACAACCTCGCATGTGCTTATTTTAAATTAATTGTAGTATATTACAAAATTCAAGGTTTCAGAATCTTCCTTAAAAAAAAAAAAAAAAACAAATTTGCATATGACAAAGAGAAATTGAACTTCCAAATGACTGCTGTAATTTTTTGGCAGGAGGCAAGGGGGAGCAATGAAGGGAAAGGAGTAGCTACAAAATATAAGCAAAATGGATCCTGAGGAGATAATGCCAGGACATGCAATATTTCTGGTACTTTCAACGGTAGTTTGATCCTTTGCATATCGTGGAGATTGTGCTGTCTTGTTCACTAATTAATTTCTCCTGTGATGGAGAGTTCAAATACACACACAGGCTTCTTTAGTTGGCACATTTGTTTATCTTGCTGCTCTTCATCACTCGAACAGTTTATTGCAACTCTCAGAAACTTAACAGAGAAGTTGATCAGGCAAGAATGCCAGCACACTTGTTTGTTAGTCAAAAAAAAAAGAAGATAAAGTTCAATACAAAAAATTCTAGTCTAATCTCTCATACTGTATTCTTGGAAGAGATCAAATATCCTCTTCTCAACGCTGTTGCAACAATTAGATATAAAATTTTATGTAGCTTTTAAAATTTTGAAATATTTTCACATTCAGCTACAGACTTTAACTGCAACTGATGTGAGAGCAGGCTCAGCATTCAATTGATTTATATGGAAGATAGGCCTATCAGCATTGAGGAATTATGTATAATCAATAACTCTTAGAAATGATTGTATCACAAACCATTAAAAGCATGTAGGAGGTTATTTCAAGACAGAAATCTAGAACCTTTCCTATACTGCAGAGGCCAAGCAAGTAATATTGAAACTCATGCTGAATTCACTCTGTGACTTCTATTGGCCTTTTTCTGAGGGGGAAAAAAAAAAAAAAACAACCCAAAAAAAACCTACCAGAAAAAATAACCACAAAGATTGACCTCTGTGGAACATGTTCATTAACAGAATAACAGGTCATTCTGAAATTAAAGGAAGAAACGGACATAGCAATTATTGAGCTGATTAATTGCAATAATAATGGACAAAATATTCAAATAAATTAATTTTGCACACAACATTTTTAAGAGGATAATGGAGGACTGTAACATCTCTGATGACTGGCACAGACAAAGTCAAGTTCCTGCTTATCTTTCCTCTCATACTGACCTATGATGAACTACAGGAACCCTCCTTTCAGACATAGAATTCCCACACATAGAATTCTCATTCTGTTAAAATTATGTGTATGGGAGACTCAAGGGAAACATGAGGAGCTTGAACTCAAGTGTCAACAGAAGGGATTGTATCTTTTTTGCATTACTGCTTTTCATACCAAAAGCTATTCATGTTTCTTCTAAATTCCTGATGTTCTGAAAAGCTGAACATGTGAATTGACATATTTTTATTTGTTGCTCACAAATATGCTGCATCAAACTAGCTTGCAAAACTGGTGTTTTATACCAAAACCCTAACTAAAAAGTAGTTGGCTTATATACGTATGAATACAGGAAAAGGAACAGTTCCAAGCATGGAAACCTGGACTCCATCAGTTCTGGAATTTATTTGAACCTTAATTGCTTAAGGCACATGGATCCCTGTCTACAGAACTAGATACTGTTATAAAAGGTCTGTGAGCAAAGTCTCTCCAAGTCTTTTCCACTCTCTAAAATGCCTAAGATGTCGAGGAGGAAGAGAAAGGCATTGGGAAAGTTAAAGCAATTTTAAAATAAACTTACTGATAATGCTTTCCGTTGTTCTCCAGCAAAATAATATGCTAAACTTAGGCAATATGTAGCTTCTCCTTGGATCTTCATATCACCTACTAAAGAAAGGATTAAAGTTACACTTACCAGAATAATCTGAACAAAATTACATTAGTACAAACAGTTCTTGCAGGTTCTAAAATAACATACAGATATTTAAACACTACATTAAGTATTCCCTTCTCCTTACTCTTGCCAATTATTTATTTCCAAAAATATATAGTGGCAATTAAAAATACAGGCTATGGATTTAAAGAGTTCAACAAGAAAGTTCAGCAAAGTCAAAGAAAATATATTCCAGTAAGTAATGCAGTACAATGAGTCTAACATGCTGTAATGTTCTCTGTCATTAATTGCTTAATAATAGTGTCTTCACATTAGAAAATCATACTAGCCTCTCTCCATATATTAATATATAAAATTAAAGTAGCCACAAATATATAACAAAAAATATAAACACAAAATATGTTGACCCATACACTTTGCTGTTGTGAAACTTAATGGAACACCAAGAGAGAATTATCAGTAGACCATGTTCATATTTGTTATTCTCATGGTCATTTTGCAAACTACTGTAGGCTAGAATAAGTTAAAAAAAAAAAAAGAAGATAAAAGTAACAAAGCCCTCAGTCTTTCTGTTGTTCAATACCCACCTTGTCAAATGTAATAGTGGAAAAATAAAGCTGAAGCTCAGCTACATATCAAGATATTTTGTGAAGTGCATAAATACAATTGCAGTGAAAGGGCAGATTATCTATTTATGATATCTACTAATAATTTCTTTATGTTCAAACACATAGAAGCCTACATCTAGTTCTGTAACTCTTTGAATGATATAACTGCTGAGGCCATAGTAGTGGTCCAGCTAATATGTTAAAAAAATCATGAAAAGCCTGCAGATCAAAAACCCGATAGTCTTTTCCAGTGTTCAATAACCCTTAAAGGGCTTAAGGAGGCAAAAAAGAAATACAGATGACCAGAGGAATAATAAATGAAAATTTGCTAGGGATATAAAAAACTTCCTTCCTCACTTAAGAACAGTCTGAGAGTCTGAAGTGGGTAGTATCTAATCCCTATTCATAAAATACATAAACACAGATGATGGTCCAGAAGGACAGAATAGATAGCACAGCTAGTAGCCAGAGTCAGTATGGGTTTAACTAAATTGTTAAGTATGGGCTTAGTAGGTAGAGGTTATGGTTCTGTAATGGGGACTAGACAACTCATCTGAAAGAAGCTTCTAAAGCTTTATATTTTAAAAGAACAATGGCAAGTATAGTCTGCACACATTATTAAATTTAAAAACCTAATGTATCTGGTAATAAATATTGAAGTAATATTATATATTAATTGTATGTGCAATTCATATGCAAAATACGCCCCTTAAGGAATACTATGGAAGGCTCTTGAACTGGTGTGCATAGAAAAAGATGATCACTTGAAACCTTCTATCTTACTTCTGAGAAGCACTCCAATAATCATCTTGGATAAACATCTACAAAAAGTAAGCCTGTGGAAGTGGATATTTAACAGCATCTTTTGAGAAACAAGGACTATTAAGATTTTTAAAAAATTCTGTAAAATTATATTTCCATAAAGTCAACTTGTAAGATTTGCCCTCTTTTTTCTGTTCCCTTTCATGTGTAAGAAATGCTTCAGAGCTGATCAAAATCTCACATTACATATAACATTCAAATGCTATACAATTTTCCCCCAGTTTTAAACCTACCCATACATAGACAGAGCATCACAGAACATCTAGAACAAGGTGGCAATCAGGAGTTGTCAGCACAAATTTAATACAGGGAGTTTGTTCTTCAGCAACCTCATAGCGTTCTATGATAAGATGACTGGTTTGGTGGATGAAGGAAAAGCAGTGGATTTTGTTTCTCTCAATTTTAGCCAGGCTTCTGTCAGTATCTCCCATAACATCTTCATACACAAACTGAGACAGCAATGCAACCTTAAGGCAAAAGCAACCAATGGGATCCTGGGCTGCATTAGGCAGAGTGTTGCAAGCAGGTCAAGGGGAGGTGATCCTTTGCCTCTACTCAGCACAGATGAGGTCACTCCAGGAGTGCTGTGCCTCATGCTGGACTCCCCGTACAAGAGAGAGAGGGACATAGTGCAGCAAATCCAGCAAAGGGCTGCAAAGATGATGAACGGACTGGAGCATCTGTCCTTGGAGGAGAGGCAGAGGGAGCTGGGACTGTTGAGGCCACAGAAGAGAAGGCTCTGAGGGGGATCTTATCAGTACCTCTTAGGCAGCAGTAAATAAGGGGGAACCAGGCTCTTTTCAGTGGTGCTCAGTGAAAGGACAAGAAGCAATGGACAAAACCTGAAATTCCATCCGAGCTCCAAAAAAATACTTCTTTATTGAGAGGGTGTTTGAACAGTGGAAAATATTTTCCAGAGCAGTTATAGAATCTCCACTTGTGGATGTATTAAAAACTTGACAGAATGTAGTCCAGGGCAGCCGGCTCTATCTGATTCTGATGATCTCCAGGGGTATCTTCCCACCTCAGCTATTCTGTAATTTTTCTTTAGGCTTCCAAGGATTTGTGTGCATTGAGATATACAGAAGAAATTTTGCTTTCCTATGATAGAAAACTGTCTTTTTTCAAGTACTAAATAAATACGTAGAGTGAAAAGGTAGTGTCCCAGCAGCTAACAGCACTCAAAATTTGTCAAATCAACAGTGACTTAACAATTGAAAATCAGTGGGCTGAGCTTTTGTCAGTGACTTTACTTCCTGATTATGAGTTCACTCTTGTACACTATTATTCTCAGAAGGTGGGTTTGTTTGGGTTTTTTTTTCAGAAGTTAAGCTTTCAGGAATCTAAAAGATTCTTTGTTATCAGCAAGAAGACTTTTCTGCTTTAGTGAGATCTGGAAGTGTATTGATAGCACTGGTCTTTGCATTTCATAGTAAATTATCACCCAGTCAAACACTTGACAATTTCTACTTCACTCTTGGGAAAATCATTACATGCACATCAAATAAAACAGTGGAAAAATGTTATTTTCTACCTACCATTTTTTGCCATTTTTAAAGCTTTTTTTAGTGTTTTGATGGCCTGTTGGAGTTCTTTATTTTCAAGCATTTTGTCTGCTAATAATGTATAAATTCTCCAGAGATACTCAGATGCCAGTGAATTGTAAGTATGGCCTGTCACATCCTTCCATGTTGAACCCTCTGTTAGATGGTAAAATGTTTCATAATACTCAGCAGCTTTTAAGACATGACCTGAAAAATGTAATTTGTAATTACAATCAGTATAATCAATACAATATTTAAGTTATTAACCTAGAATAATATTCTCATTGGAAAGTAAGCTGCAGCCAATCATTTCAAAATTTTCAAGAATCTTCAATATATAACTTGATAGAAAATTTCCTGACTAGAAAATACCGCCAAATCTCATAGTTACCAGTAATTCTGTAATATAAACATATCACATTTTAAATTAGCTTTTGTTTGTAGAGTCACAATGTTGAGGGTATGTGATTCCAAGGATGCAAAGTCAGAAGTTTCTAAAAAAAAAACATCCATTATAGATACATTAATACAGATTTAGTGGATCATATATTTCAAAATCACATCTATGCAGAAAAAATCGCAATTCAAACTGTTCCTCAAGTTTCTTCTTTCATAATGAAAACCTGTGCTGAAAGATTTGAGATGTGGAGAATAGAGGTATCAAAAGTGTGTGAACTGGGGGGAAAAGCAAGTCTTCATTCAAATAATGAATTGCTAAAAAAGAATTATTATGCAAAGTAATTTATTCAACAGTTATTTCTAGGCCAACTCTGGTTAAAGTAAACTCACTGGAAAAACATCAACCACTAATAGATTAATTATTGAGACTCAACTAATACATTTTGAAGTCTTCAAATATAAGTTACTCAAACATCTTTAAGGCAAAAGAGTTTGAAGAGAAAGTTCAATTCATTTCAACATGCAAATAGTTCCTCCTTCCCCTTTACCTTCAACTAGACTTATCTCCATGTATACATGCAATGTAGGAGATTTCCATGTTTCCTGGACAATGGAAATTCAGTGTTCTTTGAAAGAACAGAAAAATTTTTCTTTATACATAATACATGCAGAAAAACTGCTGGGAAGCAGGTAAGATGAGACCACTTATATTAATAAAATGTTATACAAAGAATGTTCTATAGGAGGGAAAACAGTAAACGTGATCCTTGCTTCTTAAGTTTGTTTGTATGTGATGGAGGAATCCTGTCCCATAGATTATGAATATATCAGTTGCTATTTAAACCAAAACAAGCCACAAACTAAGTTTGTGTAGTTGTGTTTGCAGTTTATACCACTTCTGAAACATGTTTTATGAAGAACAATTTCTGGTTTGCTGACTGTTTTTACAGTGCTGCATTCAAATTACAAAAAGAAGCAAGGAGAAAAGTTGCTTTGCAACTGTGGGAAAGGAAGGGAGAGAAGCTGGAAAACGGATCTTCTTTAAGGATTGTGAGAGAAAATGAGGCTAGTTCCCCAGGCCTCGAGCCAACCTAGAGGCAGCAAAACAGTTATGACAGAGTCCTCCCATTAACTTAATTTAGATTTGTGTTTTGCATATGTTACCATTTTATAACTGTGCTTTCAATTTTGCAATGAAACATAACTCTTATCGTTATTAGAATTAAATTTATTTTCCTATTAAGCTTCTTTGATGATTAAAATGAGTTCAACTAAAACTGAGAAGTGCAAGAAACTTTCAAAGAAGCAACCAAGAGTTTCATAGAAAAATCATTTTAAGGCTCTACAACCTATGATCTATATAAGAGTCCCAGAAGACACAACAAAAAGTGCCACGTGAAAAGGGAGACAACAGGCTTTATTCAGTTCCACTCTGGCTAGGGACAGGTATCAGAGAGATGGCCCAAAACGTTGGAAGAAAAAGTGTATTGTTATCAGACCCTGTAAACAGACAGGAAAAGATCAATACATTCTTTCAAAAATGTCACAAACTTCACATCAGATTGAACAAACAGAAATGCAAAATGAAATTATCATGACCAATACAAGCTGTTTAAGGATTCACTGCCAGTTCATGTAACAGGAAATAGAGATGCAGACTTGCTAAGCCCAGATGGAAAATCTTGTCCATTCTAAAGAGGCTTCCAATTTGAATTTGTGTTTCTGCCTATCCAGTCCAGTTAACTTTTTAGGGCAAGCCCAAACCAGAGGTCAACAGAATTCCAGTTATCTAAGTTGCTAAATGCAGATTTAAGATATTAATCAAAGAAGCTGGTGTTGGTTTGGAGGCAAATGACAGAAAATTGAGTTGAAATATCGCGTTAATAGCTAGATCTAGAATTGTATCCACTTGAATCCTCATAAGCACATACAGACTTCCTTGGAATTCTCCCCAAAGTTTATTAATTGTCCTTTTGAAAGGATATTCCTGAGTGATCTACTTTCACTACATGTGTGACTTTTATTCTTTAGAACAGTAGAGATTGATTCATGTGTAACTCAAATACTTCTAGTAAGAATGGGAAGCAGCAAACAAATGAATGGTGTCACCTGGACAAGAAATTTGAATCTGAACACGGTATCCAAGTTTCTCCTAACATTCTCTAATATAATCTTTCAATGGGACACATCATTTAGGTAAATAATACGTGCAACCTTCAAAAGTATTGTTTAGATTGTTAGAACTATTGGGTACGGTAATTCTTACCCATGCTTCCTCACTTGCAGTATCCCCTTGAGAAAGTTTCTGTCAGACTAGAAATTGAACTCATATATTCCATGTACCCCATAGTTCTTAAGAGTTGACCTAACCATAAGAGCTGTGACCTGACATCCTTTTTGCCAGATCTCAGTGAAACCTTTTTAGAAACAATCCATCTACATCAAGCTTCAAAACACAAAAGCATCTTTTTGGTAGTATTCAATTGTGACTAAATTGCATTTGGCTTCACTGAACTACCAAGAAAGATTGTGAGGTAAAAAGTAGTATGATCTGCTCACAGAAATACTAAAAAGAAGATGCTGAGCAAAAAAAAAAAAAAAATCTCAAAATGCTAGTTTCCTAAATGAGGAAGAGATGGAATTCCTGACCTGAAAGCCCTTACATGGCTGGGAATTTGCTTACTGAAGACTTTTGAAGTAACACTAGCTATTTGGAGACCTCTCAAATTCATGGAAGGTAAAACATTTTAGAGTTCGGATTTAATTTCTTCATCAAAATAGCCTGAAATACTTTGTTCTCATTGGCAAATGACACATCAGGTTATTTCTTTAAACCATTATGTTTATGTGAACCTCAAATGTTGTGGGGGGAAAAGAAAAAGAAATCTTTTCAAGGGGGTGGCAAGTTCATTCACTGTCATGAGTCGATTCAGTTGGAATTGATCTTTTCAGTGTATTCCAATTTTTAAACACTGAACTTCTGCAACTGGTAAGCTCAGACACAGGTAGATGCTGTCTGAAAAGTCTTGAAAAACATTAAAACAAAGTAATAAGCCAATTACAGAACATTCTGAGAGTAAAAATATTTTTATCTCACTTGAGAAGTGACAAGATAGACTTTTAAATGACTTATTATCAACAGAAAAAGAAAAGGAAGAAAAAAAAATGCAAAATGAGAGGAAAAATAGTGGGTAGGAAAAGCACTTGGAATAATTTGTAGAAATGCATCTTTTATACCTCTAGGAATTCAAAGAGAAAAATCCAGAAGGTGTTTCTCAGAAATCTGTATTTGAAAAATATATTTGCAAAATTTTTCACAAAGCAGTATAGCTATTTTCAGTTGGCAACATTAACAGCAACTGTGTATTTCTTTTCCCACTGCCACACAGAAGTTAACTCAGCATATACTAAATGGAGTCTGAGAATCTTTGATACCTTTTCCATGTTTATGAAAAGAATTAAAAAAAAATAAAACAAAAACCACAAACCACAATGTATCTCTTACAACATATATACTATCACTACTAAAATGTTATAGTTTTATATATCTCAGGGCATAACAAAAGAAACCCTATCAGCAATAGTTCAATCTTAAATACGGCAAGTAAACATCATCACAATATAATTTTGGGAGTAAAGAATTAGTTTTAAAAAACTATATGAACATAAGACGTTACTCTGCCACTAACAGTATCAGATTTTAGAAATTACTTATTTTCATACCAGCTACATATGTATGCACAAAGATTTGTGCCACAGTTTTCACTGAGTTGCTTAGAAGTCAAAAAAATAAATCTATTCATTCAAGCAAAAGAACTTGCTGTAATTTTGTAAATACCGAAGAGAAACGTTTTTACATTATCTAAAACTTCCTTTATAATTCCCCTTCCTAAAACCCACTCCAAAAGTATACATTTGTTATATCAAAATAGATATCAAACCAGAAAGGGGATATATGGAGACTACTATTTTGCCTTTTTTTTTTTTTTTAAGTAGAAAGATTGACTAGATATTAACACAAATGGGTTTAAATGTGAAGCTGCCATAAAAGCAGGCACATAAATGTAATTCTCCCAGCCGCTATTTTGATGCACATTTTTGATTCCATGAATATTTTATGAAATGGACCAAACTAAAGCCATATAACATTCCTGCATTACTGATGCTTGCGCCCGTAAGCTACAAACATTAGAGGCATGATTGAGTGCATTAAAATGAACTCATTCAGCAGTGCATTGATTACTTGAAGGAGAAAAAAAAAAAAAAAAGAAAAGAAGTTACTCCCACTTAAGAAAACAGCACACAAACCTGAAGTTTTCAATACTAAAATTAAAGATAACAAATTTGAATAATGCGGTATTTAATAAATAAAGGCAGTGCAAAACTATCTTGAATTCTCTATATACAGTCCTGACATTAATTAGGTGCAATGTTAATTAGGTCCACAGATTGCTTCCAGTAGTATACAGGTAATTTAAAATGTCACAATCTGCAAAATGCAGTGACTGACCTGGTCTAGCACCATGCCTCAGCAATACTGAGAGCACCTAATGATTTCCTTTTCTATCAGCTTGTACATTCACCACTGAAAATAATGCCGCAGAAACAACTACACAAAAAAGTGACAGGTCTGCTAGGTACATTTCTTCAGCAGCAGTAGTATAAGCAGAAAGCACATTCAATCCTAAATTGTAAACAGTTGTTGAGGACTTTAGAAAATATTTAAATTTAGCTTAAAACAACAACCTAAAGGAACAATAGATCTTTATGTATATTATAGTATATTTCAACCTATAACTAGGAGATCT